ATTTCATCATGCTTGAGGTTTGTTAGGCACTAATTTGATCATATTTGCCAAGTTTGGTATAACCTCTTTGTATTTTGGCTTGTAAGTCTTTAGTGTGTGAGTCATGAGCATGCTTGAGTTGGGTTGTTTTAGTGATTTGGAATCATTTCTCATTCCATTTCAGTCCCTAATCCATGGTTGTATGCTTGCATTCATCATCCATTTCACGCCTTGAAGTGTTGTTCTTTTATGCCTTAAAATAGGTCTTAAATGCATGCCTCTTGGGTTGTGTCCCTTAGCTGCCATATCAGTGGGTTTTGGAGGTCCTTTTTACATGCTAAAACTTTGTTTTGTATTGAAAAGTTCATGCCATGTTTGCTTGGGGTAGGTGTCGAGTAATGCCCTCTTTTGTGCCCTTGAATGCCTTCTATCTTACACCCATCCCCTAGCATGTTTTGGCATCATTCTTCGCATGCTTTTCAGAGTTTAACATGAGTGTTTAATGTCCATGTATATCACCTTTGAGTGTTCTTGAGAGTAGCCTTCCATGCTTGGGTTTTTGGCTCATTGGTGTGCATGTTTGCATGAGCACTTGTCTATCATTTTTTAGCACTTTTGGCCACTGTTTTGGGGTGTGGCTGAGGCCTCCCATTTCAGTTAAAGACCACCCTTGTATATAGTTGCATACTTAGCATGTTACATGTTGCATTCCATTAGTTGCATGCTTACATTATGTCTTGTTTGCATGTTTGCATATTGTTTAGTTAGTTGCATCACATAGTCTTGTTGCATACTTGATATGTTCATGTTTAGCTTGCATGAATAGGTAGCATGGCATTGCATTAGGTGCATTACTTTGCATTGTATATGGCATACATCGCATTGCATTTTGCTTGGTTTGGGGTGTCGAACCAAGTATGAGGATTGAGAAGTGTTCGTACTTGAAGTGACGAAACACGTTTCAATCCTCGGTCGCCAATGCCCTTAATCTCAACATGATAGGGCATTGGCACTCATTTGTTTTGTTGTATGCATTTACATTGATTGGATAACTTGGTGTCTTAGGCTATCATGCATTGGAATGCGTGATTGGTGGCTCGAGTACCAAGGGCCACACTCCTTTGAATCCATAACATGATTAGAAGAGCGGCCATGCACACATTTGCTTGAAAATTCCATGCCATACACTACTTGCCCTCTGCTGCTGTCAACTGCAGGATTCTGCAGGAATAAATGGCCGACCGGCCGTCTCTAGTGCCGACCGGCCAGCAGTGTCCAGCCGATGACACCATCTTTGGTCGATAAGCTTGTTCCCATGGCCGGTGGCACTCCACAGCACTCAGAAGGAAGCTCAAGGCAGTTCTGGGGACTTTCATAATTTTCAGAGGGGTGAGACAATGTAAACAGAGGCAACAGTGGCATGGTACCGGGTTTTCGGGCAAGGCTGATTAAGCATGCATCATCCACGCATCCCGAGGTAGGGCTGCGGCCACCTTCCTTTTGCATTTAATTTGTTAAATAATTAGAAGTTCTGTAATAATTAATTTAGTAGTATTCCTTTGGTTGTGTAATATTTATTCGGACCCTCCGAGCGAGGGCAATTGTGTAATAAGTGTGTGTGAGTGTGTGTATGTTTTCCAACCCCCACTTCTTTCTTCCCTTTTATTTACTATCTTTCAATGGTTAGTATTAGGATATATTTAAATTAGCATACCTTATGTTATGCATGAGTGCATTCATACATTTGTCTTGCATGCACCAGGCTCGACGCATCATGCTAACTGCATTATATTTCAATTCCAAATTGAATACGTGTTATCTGTTGCACTTCACATGCCATGTTTAGGATAGCCGAGCCTGTCTAGATTGTATCTTTGCATGTGTTGCATTAGCCATTTTAAACATGAACTAGGATCATGCATATGATTACTAACTAGTTTCTGTTTTGGCTTGGAGTACTTGGTAAGCATTTATGTTTTAGCATCCTTGCATGAGTGTGAGTGTTGCCATGATAACATGCTTACCATGAGGCTATATGCTTACGTGTTATAACTGCCTAAATGCATGTGAGTGAAGGTTGGGTTACTTAAATTGGAACAATGCATTGAATGTAAGTTTTAAGCCCACTTGAGGGTGGCAAAATTCATTTCTTAAGCCTACTTGCGGATAGCACCATCAAACCATTTTCAAATAAACAAACATGACATGTTTCGTTTCAATTTAGGCGACTTAGTCTATACTTGTTTGCTGTGCGCATCACGTAGTAAATCTAGGCTAATAACCGAAATAAGAACGTATAATATTTTCAAAACTAGATATCATGGTTAGTAGAGGCCGATCTTCGGATCGGGTGAGAGGAGGTGCTCATAGCTGACCTTCCCCAATCGTACCCAAGTTCCTGAGCCGAAGCAACTTTGGTGATGACGGACACGTGGCCTTAGGCAAACGAGTCAGGGTTTCCTAAATTCTCCAAAAATAAAATATTTAGGTGGCAACTCTGTATCTGGCAAAGCAATCCATGTTTGGCACTTCTTTACAAAAATCTATTTTCCAAAACGATTTGCCGGATTTGGACTCTTTGGTGATTTATCAATCTCACATTGCACATTGTGAGATCAGATTAAGAACCGACACAAATCGAGTCCGAACTGTAGCATGAGGCCCAAGGGCGCGTCTACAGTAATGAAAGATGGTAGGAAATAATGGCAAAGGATCCAGACTCTTTCATTATTGCTTTTGTTTTTCATTGCAATCCGCTACTAATTAAATTTAAAAAAAATAAGAAAAAGTCTAGGATTTGGGTGTCTTTTAATAGAGAGGTTAAAAGTAAATTTTTTATTTTTTTAGTTTTGTACCCATAGAGTCTCTTTGTTTTTTATATATATATATATATATAATTTGTGACAATTTCTGATTTTAAAGAGATAAATAAATGTGCCTTTCATTTCACAATTTCTGTCTAACTTGACACAACTAGTTTATTTTGGTATACTAATAATGTAACATGATCAAATTTAGAAGCTGGAATGGTTGTTCTGTTTTTTTTTTTTGGGGTTTGGCTTCTCGCCACCCTTTTGGCTTGAACTAGCATATGATTGGGTGTTTTTCCTTGGTGCCAACATAGTTGGGATGAACGATTTCGTTATGATGCTTTTTGCTCGCCTCCGCTTTTTTGATGTTATCCATATGTATGTATGTTTGATGCTATCAATAAAGCTTTTTTGCTGATCAAAAAAAATTTAAGTATGGATAAGGCCTCCCTTAATTGTGCCCATTTGGATTATACCAATTATTCATATTATTAATTTTATTGTGTAAATTATTCATATAAAAAATTAAATTGGTTAGCTATAATTAATCATACAATCAAATAACATTTGAGTTAAAAAAAAATTGGCCAATTTATTCTCAAAATCATATGATTCAAACATTTTACTACTACTATCCAATCAATATGAATATTTGCATAATTGAGGTTTTTAACAAATCTTAAAATATGAAGAATTCAAAGGGCTAGGTTTCCTTTCAGCTCAAAATCTGGACTAGAAGGTGTTGTTTGGACTTGTGAGGCATACCATGGATCTTATTTTAATAATTCAAAATGTTCATTTTGTAAAGCCATTTGTATATATTATTTATAAAAATACTTAGGTCAATCCAATAATCATAACATATTCAATTTATTATATTTATTTCCAAAGAAATGGACGGCAAATCTATTTTAAAAAATAGACTATCTAATTTTTTTTTTTTATGATTAATGTGATAAATTGAATATATTCCAATTATCGAATTGACTTAATATTTTTTTTATAGTGATATACACGAAGGATCTTATAATATAAATTATTTAGATTTTCAAAACAGAATTTGCAATAGACTTTACAAGTACGGACAATACTCCCCAATCCAATTGTCCAAATCTACACTGAGGCAATGCAGACCCTAATTTAAATTCCCAAAACCTAGACTCTCCAATATGAAGATTTAATCATTCACTACAAAAAAAAAAAAGAAAGTAAAATGGTATATCCATGGGAAAAAGATAGGCACCATGAAAATATATAGAGAAATTTATCCTGAAAGTGAAATAAGTGATTGTTGATTTAATTTTTTATTATGTCAGTTATCTTAAGATGAATGTGATTCATACATTCATTTTTATGAATATATTTTTCTTAAAACTTTGTAACATTGCTGATAATCATGAAGGAAAATAATGCGAGAGTGAGATTTACAATTAGTGTCAATATCTGCACACCTTTCACGACTTCATCAAACTTGGCATTCATCATAAAATATCCATCTTTGCTATGATGTAAGGTGAAGATTTAATTTGGTATCTTTGGAACTTTTATTTCTTTATGCCAAGAGAGCTTTTTATTTTTAATTCCAATTTTAATTAATTTAATGGGCAAACTTTACTTTATTTCATGTGATTTGGGTTATATGCATTTTACTTTTTAAACATTTGAAAATGACCATATAACCCCCACATAGTTTGTGGACTAAAATGCACTGTTAGACCTGGTAACAATTTAACAAAAAAGACTAAAATACCCTTATATATACACGTAACTTAAATATGCGAACTAATAATATTTTTGCCATTTATTTAGCAGACAAAGTGCACTTTAATCCACTGTATTTTATTGCATGTGTGATTTTTTCCATTCAAATTTAAAAATAAGCATATAAACCCCTTATCTACTACGTGTTTCACATTTGTTAAGTTCGACGGAATGTTTAACGGTCCACTTCAGTCCACAAACTGCATGGGATTATGGGGTCATCTCCAAACTTTAGGAAGTAAATCTCACATGACCCAAACTATAAAAAGGTAAAGTGAAGTTTGTCCTAATTTAATTTTAATAATTTTTATAAAAAATTTATAACTTTTGACTTATGAAACAGGTTCAACTACTAATTTTATTAGTTTGACACTTCCTTCCGTGAAGAATTAGAATTTTAGAATATACAATTCACTTGACGCACCACTATATATACGTACATATTATTCCCATTGTTCGTCACTGTTCAAATCCCATACCTCATTTTCATTTCTACATTCTCTCTATCCACTTACCAATCTGCAATGGCTTTTACTTCTCTAGCTTTGCCTTCCCTGCAACTACAATTCTTGACACAACGGCCTCCAAAAGTATCATCAAAACCATACTCAATTCACCACCCAATCTATGCTTCCGTATCCGAAAGACCATCTGCGCCACCTCCTCCGGCGACGCCGAAAATGAAACCTCCTTCTAAACCCACCAATCTTCCCATTCAGAAAATCCCAGGAAACTATGGCCCTCCCTTAATTGGTCCCATCAAAGACAGACTCGACTACTTCTACAACCAAGGCACAGTCGAATTCTTCAAGTCTCGAAGCGAAAAATACCACTCAACAGTTTTCAGAGCCAACATGCCACCTGGTCCCTTCATTTCCTCCAACCCCAACGTGGTCGTTCTTCTGGACGGCAAGAGCTTCCCAGTCCTCTTCGACGTCACAAAAGTCGAAAAGAAAGACCTCTTCACAGGGACTTTCATGCCCTCCACCGAACTCACCGGTGGTTACCGAGTCCTCTCCTATCTGGACCCCTCGGAGCCTAAGCATGCCAAGCTCAAGCAACTCATGTTCTTTCTACTCAAATCAGGGCGAGACAAAGTGATACCAGAGTTCCACTCGAGCTTCACAGACCTCTTCGAGACCCTTGAAGCCGAACTGGCAAGCAAAGGCAAAGCAGCATTTAGCGATGCCAATGACCAGGCTTCTTTCAATTTCTTAGCTCGGTCACTCTTCGGGACCAACCCAGCCGATACCAAACTCGGACTCGACGGACCCAATTTGATAGCCATATGGATATTTTTCCAACTGGCTCCTTTGATAACCCTTGGCCTCCCAAAGTTGGTGGAAGAGCTACTCATCCACACTTTTCCTCTCCCTCCAGTACTCATCAAAAAAGACTACCAAAGATTGTACGATTTTTTCTACAACTCGTCAACATCCATCCTCGACGAAGCCGAGAAAATTGGCCTCTCCCGCGAAGAGGCTTGCCACAATCTCTTATTCGCCACGTGCTTCAATTCCTTCGGCGGAATGAAAATCTTTTTCCCCAGCATGATCAAATGGATCGGCCATGCTGGAGCCAAACTCCACTCCCAACTCGCCGAGGAGATCCGATCAGCCGTCAGATCCAGCGGCGGGAAAGTGACGATGGCCGGGATGGAACAGATGCCGTTGATGAAGTCCGTAGTGTACGAATCGCTGAGGATCGACCCGCCCGTGCCATCACAATACGGTCGAGCGAAACGGGACATGGTGATAGAGTCTCATGACGCAGCGTTTGAGGTGAAAGAAGGGGAAATGTTATTTGGGTACCAACCATTTGCGACTAAAGATCCGAAGATATTCGAGAGGCCGGAGGAGTTTGTGGCGGACCGGTTCGTCGGAGAGGAGGGAGAGAAGATGTTGAGGCACGTTCTGTGGTCGAATGGACCGGAGACCGAGAGCACGACGGTGGGAAACAAGCAATGCGCGGGGAAGGACTTCGTGGTGATGGTGTCGAGGTTGTTGCTGGTGGAGTTGTTTCTACGTTATGATTCGTTTGAGACGGAGGTTGGTTCTTCAGTTACTATAACGTCCGTCAAGAGAGCTAGTTTTTGAACGGTTGTCATATTTGAATTGATGAAATTTCACACCAATATCACATCATGTAAAATGTTAGGATACATTTTATACTAGACCCTCCATTTTGGGCATACATTATGTAAAATGTTTTGGGAAATTTTTAATAGATATTTCATTTTAGATGTGTACTGTATGTTCAGTTATGATATTTATGATATTTGATTTGATTTATTATGTGTTAGGTATAATTTAGTTATGATTTATTGTGGTGTAAATTATAATTTATTATGATGTTAGTCACGATGTGATTATTATTTTAATTATAATTAAAATTATTTATAATTCAGATTTATTCTATAAATAAACTCCATATTATATAAATTCAATCTTAACGACACATTCTCATTTAAGATAAATTCAAGATGGTTAAAGTGGGATTCATAAACTTATTCTTATATAAACTAGTTGTGCAACCGTGCACAAGGGTTTTGTTTTGTTTTGTTTTTTTTTTTAAATAGACATAAATATTTACTTAGAATATATATATTTGGTTTTTTTTTTTTTTTTAAAAGCAATATTATTAGAAAAAAATGCAGTTAAATTATATGTAAAACAAATATTCTCAAATCAGTGAGATGTTTCATAATGTCAAAGGCTCCTCTCCAATTGTGTTTTGGAGGTGCTTTTGGCCCTCCATGAACTTACTACAAAACTCACATTGATAATCTAAAACGTTCAATGGTCCTGTTTGATATAGCTGTTAAAACAGATTATAAATTATAACTTAATAGATTATAGATTATGACTTTAATCAGAAGCTGTTAATCTGTTTGGTATAACTGTTGGATTATAGATTTAAGTTACTGAGTAGTGTTTGTTGAATAAGCTGTGAAGTAGCTTTTTCAATTATTTTTTATTTTTTATTATTCACTATTTGTCTACATTTTTCATAAATAATAATAATAATATTTAATAGTCCATTTGGGTCGTTTTCTATTTTTTAAAAAAATAAAAAATAAAAAAATTTAAGAGTATAATCGTGAATTAACATGTCCACAGCAGAAGCTGATAATCAGAAGCAAGGGGTGAGCAGCTTCTCAGAATCAGCTTTTTTGACTTAAAATAAGTAGCTAGAATCAGAAGCTGTTTGAAATAAGTTTAACCAAACAGTCCAAAATAACTTTTTAAAAGCCAGAAGCCATAAGTTGGCTTAAAAAAGCTCCACCAAACACCCCTAATATATAGGGATCGTCAGTACTTCATTCTTGTAAAAAATCACATCGATTGAATATCAACGACTACTTGATCAGATCGTATTTGTGTCAAAAAATTATTTTTAAAATCATACTTACCATTAATACAAATTTGATAGGATTAAGTGGCTATCGATAACCGATCAATGTGATTTTTTGTAGAGATGAGATACTCGATGAGTTTTATACATTAACGGTTTAGATTATCGATGTGGGCTACATGGCAGACCCACGGAGACCTAACAACACACTCCAAGCCAATTTTGGACCGGAGAGAAGCCTCTACTTTTCATAAATATTGCATGACCTGTGAAAAGTTAAAAAGTAATTGCAAAATAGTGGAAATAGGCTATGTGTAAGGACAATTTTTGTGACATCTCAAAAATCGAAAATATAAAGGAATATATTAACAAATAAATATATAGTTTATCTAAAGTTATAAATCCAGGAAATCTCACTAATGAGTCATTTGGTTAATAACCAAGTAAGATCTCAGGATGATCGGAGGAGTCAATGTAGCCTCTCTTCAAAATCTAACCATCTTAGATAACAAAGCTACATTTTTTACAAATCTTGACAAGGTATTAACACAAGGTCCACATAAGCCAATGAGAAAATGAGGGATAGGTAATATAAAAGATATGTATAGATATATATTAATTACAAAATCATACCTTAAATACAATAGGAGATTTATCACTTAAAATCTCAACACACGTTCACAAAACTAGTTCCTAATTCTTCTAGGGTAGCCACATGTCTTCAAATGCTTCAGCTTCGCCTTCGACTGGTTAATAGTCTTCAATACTTGCCATGAAACGCCATGAGTTTTGAATGTTCAATAAACACACACACACCCCACCCATTTTTTCTCAACCCAATACACAATAATGGCATGATCACAATATATAGCAGAAGTAATAATCAAGCAGAACTTATAATAAATTTCAGTTCTCAAGAATAAAGGTTAATCAAGTTAGTTCTAGGTAACTCCCCGTGGAATGTCATTCCTACCTAACCGCTAACATTAGCCATGAGAAATTCTAACTTTCCCTTGGTTAAACAATTACCAATGCGACACTTACCGCACAATTACCAAGGATGTGCACGCACGTAGGTTACATGCCCGAATGGTGACATTACGGTCTACCCCAAGGGAACAAGTTTCTAGGGATACTCTCCCTGTGTGAGACCCTCACTGCCACCATTTATATTTCTCAATTCCGTTAAGCAGGCAGAATATCTCATGTGCCACATTAGGGTTCGAAAATACAATTGCACAAAACTTAACTCCCAAATAGGGAACACATCCCATCAAATCAATACTTGAAATCAATATGTCATTATCTGTTAAAGTTTTCGTTAATGATTGAAAACCCAATATTACTCTAATAAAGTTTCTCGTTAAAAAGATAGTTTTACGTCTATTAAAAGAAAACACAAATATGGGTGGAACAAAACTCAACTCTTTTCATTTTTAATACAAGAACACCATTAGAGCACATATAAAAATAATGTTTAAAACCTCTAAGAACATGTATTTAAAAGAGGAAATAGAAGGAAGGGTGGAAATGTGGTTTACCTGAATGCCTAGTGAAGTGTTTGCTTAATTTTATTTTATTTTTTTCCTTCCTCCACCATCAAAACTCTCTTTCTTCCTTTCCTCTCTCTCTCTTAGCCAAATGTAGAAGTGTTAGGTGTCTTTGTATTTCAAAAATAAGGAGGGGAGTGGTGTATTTATAGGGAAAAAAAAAAGTGATAAAAAGACTATTTTATCCTTGGTTTTAATTTAATTGAATAGTTCTTTGATTTAGTTTGAATGTAATGAAATGAGGGATGATTAGAACCTTAATTATGATCTAGTTAGACATAGAAATAATTTAATCTATTCAAGTTACAATTACATTAAATATATATATATCATTGCATTCATTACAAATCTTTTAGTACCAAAGTCGTGATTTTCTTTCCAAGATATTATGTCCTAAGTGTATCCTAGGGAGGGGGGTGTCCTGCCAAGCTGCCATCATGAGGATTTTGAGGGATTTTATTGATTTATTCGGTGTATAATTGTATATGTTATAAAGTTCTTCATGTACAAACTTATTTATTGAGGAAAATTGGTACAAATATGTATATATATATATATATACATATAATGGTACTAACTTGGAGTCAATTTGTAATTCAATTAAAATGTGAGGGCTTAATTTATGAATTAGAACACTTATTTAAGTGTAGTATTCAGTTAAATTAGGATTTGGGAATTCAGTTCGATTAAAGTTTCTCTGTTTTGAATTTAAATGGCGAATCGAAATGAGAACCGAAAACTTAAGTTTTTGAGTAGTAAATTTATAATTAGGGGGTTAATTAATTATTATCAGGGCTTTTTGCAATGATTCTTGAGTTCTTGGGTTCAATCAGGGTTTGCGAGTTTTCGGTTGATGCGCATTTTTGACTCTATGTTAAAATTGAAAACAAATAAGGAATCAATAGTCTTTATTGAAATAATTCAAAAGTAAGGGTCTAAATAAAATTACAAAGGTCAGGAGCCTCATTACTATTAGAGAAATCTCCTTTACTTTTGAAACTATTATTAAGATTTCCCTATAGTTAATCTTCAGTTAATTTATTTAATAGAATATGCTGATATCATGTATTATGAGTAAAAAATCTCAAGATTGTCCTTATATATTCAAATAGTAAATTTCATTCACCTCCCTAAGGTTTTACAATAATAATAATAATAATAATAGTAATAAAGACTCATACATCATTTTAGTAATGTTGAACAAAATTACTAAATTCTATACAACATATTAAAAAAAAATTCTAAATTGTTAAGAAATTACAAAAATATTTAACCAAAAAACTACAATTTTCATTGATAAAATACTTGAAAAAAAAACATATCTCTAAAATTAATATTTATTATAGATAGTACCTTAATAATTTCACATAAGATTTATTTCACACTATATAAACAACGTAAAATTTAACATTTGAATTAATGTATTTATTGTTTGAGCTTTTTTATTTTTTTATTTTAAGAAAGTTAAAATAATTTAACTTCTTTATTTTATTTTATTTTATTTTTTTTAACAAAATGAACTCGTTGGATCCATGGAGCAATTCTTGAATATTGCATAAATTTGTAATTCGGTCATGTTTTATTCTATAATTTGGATATGTTTTCAATACTCTATGTTTTGCTCTATAACGTAAGAAAATTTTAAGCCTTTTATATTCGAATCATCAATATATATAAATTTATAATAATAATAATAATAAATTAAAAATTAACATATTATATCTTATATGTGTTATTAAACCCTAACTTATATCAATAAATGTATTTAAACAATAAATAGAAATTCAATCTATTGTAAAAAGGGAATCCTTGTTCATTTCATTACATACAACCAAAACCTTTATAATGACAAGCATATATCTAGTAGACTAACCACACATTACCTTATTTATAATAAAAAAAATAAAATAAAATAAGAGCTTCTAACAAATTGATCACCATCATACTAAATACAATCCTTTTTTTTGAAAATTACAAAACAAAATATAAAAAATGTCAATTTTTATTTTTTAAAAAAAGACCACCAATTTTATGAATACCTATTTTGAGAAATTAGAATTTGAATAAAAATTAAAAAATACATATAGGTATTTGACTTTTTTTTGGGTACGAAAAATACCTATTTAGAGTAATTATCCCTCTCTTCCATTTTCTTTATTGTATTTATTTTATTCTTCTTTTAATTTATTCTCTCGTTCATTTTCTCATAGTATCACTGCAACTAATATCTACACCACATTATTATTGTTATTATTATTATTATTTGTTCTCTTCCATTTCCTCTATTTTTTTATCATTTTTTCCCGTTCATCAACAGTAGCTAGCATCACCCACTACCACAACTTA